TTTCATAGTGAGTTTGTCATTCAATTTGAATAAGTTAAGAGACTCCTTATACAACTTTTCATAAGCTTGCTCAAGCTCTTCATGATCACTCTCCGAGGATTCATCATCAGTGATATTCTCAACTGACCTCTTCGGAGAATCTGTTTGTCCTCAATCGAACATTGTGTAAAAGTTCAACTCTGATTATCTGAACACGACGAACAAACTTATCTTCCTAACATACGAACGAGATAAATAAAAAATCAAAAAACTACGTCATAAACTAATGAGTGGGGCATTCTGAAGCAAAGTGGCCAAATCCTTGGCATTCATAGCATTGGAGTCTTTCAGAGTTTCCTTGTATCTTTCCTTTCTCCTTCTTGGCTATAGAATTAATTTTGAGTTTATCTTTGCCTTTAGATTTATGAGTATGAGTAGATTCCAAAAGATTAGGATTCTTTTTCAAAAAAGATTTTTTAAATTGTTTAACAAAAGCAGCCGTAATCTTGGAATCTATCTCACAATCCTCATCAGAATCCTCTCCAACTCTATGAGCACTACTAAAAGCAATATCTTTTTGTTTCTTTTTGAAATTCCTATGTGCCTCATAAGTTTGGAGATTTCTACCAACTGATCCAGCCTGAGGTTGTCAACATCTTGAGCCTTCTCAATAGCCGTAACTTTTGGTTGGAACTGATCGGGTAAGGATCTCAAAATTTTTTCCACAACTTTGGATTCTGGTATTTTTTCACCTAAATTGAAGTTGGAATTTACAATGTCACTCAAATTCACATAAAATTCATCAAATGTCTCACTATCTTTCGTTGAAAGGTTTTCGAAACTAGATGTGAGCCTTTGAAGTTTTGAGCGTTTCACTGAAGGAGTGCCCTCATGAATAGTTTGTAAGATATCCCAAGCCAATTTTGCGACTTCACAATTGCAAATACGACTAAACTCTTCAGGTGTGACAGCGCAAAAGAGAGAATTGATAGCTTTACTATTCTAGTTACTATTTTGGTAATCAATTGTGTCCCACTTTTCAATTGATTTGGGGAAAGTTACTCCATTAACGGTAATTGTTGGTTCGGTCCATCCATTCATGACAGATTGCCAAACTTTTTCATCTATTGATTTCAAAAACGATCTCATCCGAGCTTTTCAAAAAGAATAATTGGATTCGTCAAGTAGGGGTGGTCGAACCATAGAATTTCCCTCACGAATTGAATCCATTATTACAAATCAAACAAGATCTCGTTCTAAAAGAATATTTTTTTAAAAAAAATAGAACGACCTGCTCTGATACCAATTGAAAAATCTAGAAATCCCCTAGATGTTGATTTGTGATTATGTATCAATTTTAAATAGTAAACAACAATCCCAATCAAACAATCAAGACAAGATCGACACAACGATTTTACGTGGAAAAACCACAATTAGACACCTTCAATTATGATAAAAAAACCACGGGCAACAGTCACAAAACAATCCACTAAGAAGATATAAAGGAATTACACAGGCATACTCTCAATTACCTAGCGAATCTACGCCCGAATTGAACCAACCTCTATGTGTCTCTTTCAACCCCGTCTTCACCTCGGAATTGTCTTGACGATGAGCCACTCCGGAATCCACCAAAGCTTCAGACTCGAATTCTTCAGAATTCACTAAAGAACAACTCTCTCTTTTGTGTGAAATTAAACAAACAAACCTTTGATGTATGCTTCTTAAATCATGAGTTGAACACTCAATGAAAACATCAAAGAAAACTAGAAAAATATCCCCAGATATAAACCTTAAGAACCAAAAAGAAGATCTGGAGTAGTTGTCCAAGTATTGGGAGAAACCCAACTACTTATAAAAAACCAAAGTAATCCTAGTTCTGGAAAAAAACCAATTCTTTATAGAAATCCAAAGTAATCCTGGTTTTGAAGAAAACTAATTATTTATAGAAATTCAAAGTAATCCTAGATTTGAAGAAAACCAATTCCTTATAGAAATCTGACCCGCGATCTCCGCTCGAGCGCCCAACAATCCGCTCAAGCGGCTTCAACAAAATATGCGTGTGACAAAACAGAGGTCTGCTTGAGCGCTTGAGAACCCGCTCGAGCGCGAAATCATACCTTGCAGTACTTTTTCAGCCGAAACAAAGATGCTGTGAGCTTGCAATCCCCGCTCGAGCGTCCCTTGTCTCGCTTGAGCGGGACGACCAAAATTGGAAAATCTGCAAAACTTGATCTTCTTACAATCTCGGTTTTGATCCATAGAAATTGACAAAGGCACGATTCGGGTTGGATTCGCATCTAATAAACTCAAAGTCTCACTGAAACAAAATGTGAGAAAACAAATATAACTGAAAGGAGTTTTGTCAAACAGGGTTGTCAAGAATAAAACCTAACAATAAATAATAAATTACAACTTATTATTATATATTTTTTTATTAGAATGACTCCAGATAACAAACTATATATATCTTAAATAAAAAAATAGCAGATTAGTCTAACGTGTTAATTTCGTATAAGATTTGTGTGGATATTAGAAACAAAAAATATATATATATATACTTATCATTATATCCAATCAATTTTTTTATTTATTTTTTGAAATTACGTTTAAAGGGCTCAATTTCAAAAGTTCACATTTGGCCCTCTTTCACAGCTAGCCTTGAAATTAGGATAAAATTTATTTTACCCTCTTGTTGTTTGTAGTTGAAGCACTTTACCCATTGATGATTCAAATATAGGCAGAAAGCTTACATATGATTTTGGACCAATGTGTAACTGTTAATTCCATTAATTATAAATGTGAAATGATTATAATACTCTCAGGGCATGTTTGATTGAGTGGATTAGAGTATGGGATTGTGATTATTAATCCGTGGACTTAATTATCCTATGTTTGTTTTAACATTTCGGTTTAGGATTATTAATCCAACGGATAATTAATCCTACAAATGTTTAAGATTATTAGTAATGAGGTAGGGGTGAGATTATTAATCCAATGAATATTAATATAATTGGATAGTGAATACCACACTAATTTAATAGGATTATTAATACTTCGCCATTAATCTTGTGAATCAAACATGACCAACCTTATACTTTTTTTTGTTATTTTCTTTTTCTCTCATCTCACACACATACACATAATTTTTAATTTCTAATATTAATTCAATCAAATTACAATTAATCATAAATTCTTAATTTTTATTATAATTCCTAACTTTTTAATCTAATTTTAATTTAATTATATTTTAAATCACAATTAATCATAAATCCTCAATTATTTATTGTAATTCCTAACTTTGTAATCTAATTTTAATTTGATTATATTTTAGATTATAATTAATCATATATTCTTAGTTATTTATTATAATTTTTGACATCTTAATCTAATTTAATTTAATCATATTTTAGATCAATTCTTAATTGTTATTTATTTTTTATTTTAAATCAACTTTAATTTATGTCATATTTTAGATCGATCTCTAACTATATTTTTCTTTTATTGTAATTAACATCCTAATCTTAATTTCAGGTTTGGAAAATATGGGGATAAATATGTCTTTTTGTTATGTTAATTTAATTTAATTTATTTTTAGAAGACTAAACTCATTCTAAAAATTAGTGTGTATGTGGTATATCTTTTGTTAATTTAGATGGAAAAAAACTGCCGAAACACTTGTGTCCAAAATCATGTGAAAACTTTCTAATGATATTTGAATTACACCTCAAACCACACTAGAACAAATGGAAATTTGTCTTAAAAATTATTATAAAATAATGATAAAAAGTCGATCATACATACATACATTACTATTTTAAAACACCATTAAATGTTATGGAAAAATATCATAAAAATGAAAAGTAAAAAAAAGATACAAATTTATAAAAGTATAACACTCATTTAGGGTTTGTTTGGGGTATTTTAAATAAGTGTATTTTTTTGTCTTTTTAGACTAAAAAATTAAGAAAAAAAATATAGATATTTGGGTTAACTTTTTGACTTTCTATGAAAAAATGTGTATTAAAAAATTATATAAATTAGTGTGTAGGGGAAAATTAAGATTGAGAGTTGTGCAATCGTAATTTTTGACTTTTGATGAATAGTGATAACTTTTTAACTTTTTAAATAATTTTTTGACTTTTTAACTTTTTATGAATTTGCCAAACTTGACTTTAATCAAATTTGTGTATAAATCATTTGTACTTGCTTAAATTTACAATTATTTTCCTAACTTTTCGTCCAAATTTTGCCACCTGTTAGCCATCGAAGAAAAGTTTGGGAAACAGTTTCTATCCAGTTTGAAAATGAAAGCTTGACTCTCATTCTCAATTCTATAATTTAAATGGTTCAATATATAAGATTCGTCTAATACATTAGCCTTATAAAAATTACGTTGATTAGATATTAATAGTCACTTGATCAGATTAAATTTATATTTAATTTATTTTTAAAATTACAATTGTTAAAATAAATACAATCTGATTAAGTGACCATCTTATTTAATCAAAATGATAATTTGTAAGAATAATATATTTAATAAATTTTATATATTAAACTATTTGAATTATTAATATGAGCCCAAAGTCCAACCCATCGTAACCCAATAGCACTGTCCAGCCTGATTCTGAGAGCGGAGAGAAGCTATTGTCAAAGGAAAATGCTAGAGGTCCTAAATTTTGTACCAAATAAATGACCAAATGTCTCACATGGCTGTGGAGCCCACAAAATTGCGGACCCCACACCCATGTGAGACATTTGGTCATTTATTTAGTAGAAAATTTGGTATCCCTAGCATTACCCATTGTCAAAAGTATTTGAAGGATAACATGAAATCCTTCTGTTTTCTTCCAAAGTTGAGAACACCAAATTCCGTTCAACCAAGAAGTCAACCTCAATCATCAACCTCATAAGGGCAATTTCGTCAATCAACAAAAACAAGTGGCATTTCTGCAAAAAACACAATGAACAAGCCCAGTTTCAAAAAACCAATTACAGTAAAAAATTGGTGCCTCACATCTCGATTCGATCTGTCTTTCTGAGCCTCAAAAAAAGCCTTTCCTCCTCAAGCATGGACAGTCCTTGAGTTTAGTGAGAGAAAGTGTAGAGAAAGAGAGAGAGAGAGTGCACATGTCTCTGCTTCCATATTGGATCCACAAGCTCTGATTTTTCATACATCTCTGTTTGGTTACTGAGAAAAACTGAAATGGGTCTGGCTGAGTTGGTGCGTTTCATTGATTGGGAACAAGAATCGTACCCAGAATACGAAGATTTCATAGTTCTTCCCTTCTTTGCTCTGTTGTTCCCATCTGTTCGATTCTTTCTCGACAGATACGTATTTGAGGTAATTTACATCTATACACAACACTCTTGATTCAAATGGGTCTTTGATTGTATCGTTATTATATATATGTTTCAGATATATATTATAGCTTTGAGTGTTTTGAATGAGTGGTTTAATGCTGTTTTTCTTTCTTTTTTTTTAAACTTTATTGTAGCATTTACACTTGTTCTCTACGGTTTTGTGTGTGTTTATGGTAATACTTTTATGGGTTGTTTTGCATTGTTGTGCTGTACCCATTGCATGGTTGTAACGGTATAGAAATAGTTGGTGTAATTATGTTGAAGATGAACATAGTCTTGAACTTTGGGGATTGGCTGTGTGGTTCATTTGTTTTGTTTTGTTTTGTTTTGTTTTTATTTTGGGTTTTTGTTTTTGCATAGTTTGATTGTGCTTGTGTTAAAACAGACTTCGTGTGTGTCATGACAGTTATTTGAATTCGACTTGATAACTATAGCAGTTATTTGATGCTTTGAAGCAATTAGATCTGAGAGAACTATGGCAATTTAAAGCCGTTATCAAGTTATGGGTATAGATATAGTATAGATAGTATGGATATATTCATGTTATCATGTTATTAAGCTAATTTATCGTAGGAAAGCATCTGTGTAGTATAGATACATTATAGGTAGAATAGATATGTTCATTGAGGTCATGTGTTTCTTTATACTGGATTACATGGGACTAATCCCCTGCTAATCTAGGGGCATTCCGAACATGGAATAAGATAAGTAATCCTAAGTTGTTGGTAATCATCACTAGACATGAACTGCATAGAGGAATGACCATACTTAGAAGATATTATGGTCTTATAGATCTCTAATCGAGACTCCCCTAAATCCCACTGTTTTGTATCTCAGCCCCCTAATGGGACTCTAGTCCCCCACAAGGATTTAAGAATATGTTCTTGAAAGTTATAATTGATTTGGGAACATGAATTCAACTTGGTTATTTTGGTTAAGAATGTTTATCAAAAATGCTATGTACACAAAAAAATTTCCTAGAAAACTACCCTAAATTTGAAATGAGTGAATCAGATTTATCATGGATATGGCCTACACCACAAGTTGTTTTAATCTTTGACTATGACTACATTGAGATTTTGCTTTGGGTAAAAGTTATGGGCACAGGATTTCTCATTGCTTATATACATTCTACATGATTTGGAAGTTTTCATGAGTCTATATATCAGTTTCTATTGGACCAGTGGAGATCAGAATATGTGTTTTAATTATTTAGAATGGAATAGGGCTTCTTTGTTTATGATGCTTATATTCTTCTTCTTCTTTGCACTTTTCTTCTAGGTAGACAATTAGTCAAAGGTTTGTTCTATAAATACTCTGCTACCCCTTTAATTCCTATTATTTTTGTATTCTTGTTATTAAATGGCTGTGTTCCTAAATGATGTTTGGAGTTCAACTCATGAAACCGGCATCCTAATAATCAAGAAGCTGCCGTCTCCTTAATCTGGCAAATATTTCTTTTATCTATTATCTTCTGTTCTTTCATGTGCTGCGCTCACTAAGGTTATCGTGATGGTTCACTAAGGTTATAATGGATTGGACATTGAATAGAGATTTGTGATGGTTCATTAAGGTTATCATGTTTGTTTGTTTGTTTTAAAATTTATTTTTTATGGAGAGTATTTGGTCTGTGAAGTACATCAAAAAAAGAAAGGGAAAAAAGAAGGAAAAGAGAAAAAGAGAAGGCGGATAGGTAAGAATATAAACTAAGAAGAATGATCAGGGAAAAGAGAAGGTATAGTTAACTAACACCAACTATGGAACTCCTAAGATCCTCACCTTAGACTTGTAAAAGCTTGATGGTTCAGACTGGGACCATTCTAGACAACTGAAGATTTCCACAATTATTTTGACACATGAAGGACAAGTACTATTCATTCTTCAGAAGGTTGAATGATATGCTATTTGCCATAGAGTAGGAAGATTGTATTTTTAGCAGAGACTATAACTTAAATCAAATTCAATGGAGATTTTCATTTTCTTATCTAGAATTCTAGATATCACTTTGCAAATAATTTCAAAGATTAGATCCACCCTTTCTAGCACCCTAATTAACGTGGCCAATGCTTGGCAGTGGCATTTAACTGTAAAGTTCAATAACTGACTACTGTTAATGGAAACTTTGAAGTCTAATTAAGAAACACTAGTTAATTGCACAAAGCCTTTTTACTTTTTTATGCTTTAAATTGGTCATAAAACTTATATTTCATTTTTCACTATATAGCATGTCTTACATTAACTCTTAGTCTGCAATCTTTTCTCATGGCATCATACCTATTATTTATGTCCTCTTCCTTGTTCTATATTACCTCAACTTGTTCTATAGCCCATCACAGGCTAAAATAGCCAATAAAACAAAACACTCCATAACATCACTCTTTCTATTTTTTTGCACGTCTTTTCGTAAAAAGCCAAATAGCCAACTAAAATAGCCTATTCTCAAACAGGGCCTTAGTGTGATTAATAGCACCATCTAACATTACTACCCTTGTGTTTGTGATTTGGAAATGGTACACTTTCGTAATGCCGTTCCTAGGGATCCAGATAATTTTGTATTTCATTTATGTTCTCAAATCTCAAGCTCATATAAAAATGAAATAAATCTTATAAAATAAAACTTGAAGTGCAAGAAGAATGAGGTTTAGGGCCACTCCACGTCCGGAGACCTTTGTGTTTATGATTTGGACGTTGTACACTTCTGTTCCTAAACATTGAGTCCAGGTAACTAATTGTTTCATTGACATTCTCAAATCTCAAGTCCATATAAAAATGAAACAAACCTTATAAAACAAAAGTTGGAAGTGTGAGAAGAATTAGGGTTAGGGTCACACCACGTCCAGAGACCATGGCAAATAGGAAAGATGTATTGCATGCTTTATCATGGTCATTAACTTGCATGTTTCCACAACTGTAAACTTGGGTCATAGAAGACAATAATTTAATAAACCTCATCTGGTAATGAAAAGACATGGTCTTACATTTCAAATAGCTAATCTCATTCTAACTTCTAAGCAAGGGATTCAGATAAACCTATATCTCTGCACCTTAAGGATGTGCTAGGATCATGGATTTCGGTGGGGATTTGGAAAGGGAAAAGAAAATGTGAGGGAAATGCAGGAAAAATTTAACTTATATTTCATTGACATTTCCCTTGCCTTTTTCTTTCCCTTTCCAAATCCCTACTCAAATTCATGATCCAAACACAGCCTAGAGGGCACATTGTATACCTGTTACCTGTTTATGTCTTTCATAATAATCAAATGTGAATAAGCCTGCTCTGAAGCCTTGGGAATCATGTTTCAAACCTCCTAGATTCTATACCCCTTTTTCTTCTAGCTCTATAGCTTAGTTTTGAAATGGATTTTCATGTTACAGAAATTAGGCAGACGAATTATATTTGGGAAAGGACAGCAGACCCTGGCTGTTGAGACAGCCGAGAGGAAAAAAAAGATATGGAAATTCAAAGAATCGGCATGGAAATGTATATATTTTCTTTCAGCGGAGATTCTGATGCTTTCCGTTACTTATGATGAGCCATGGTTCACTAACACAAGATATTTTTGGGTGGGCCCAGGAAATCAGGCTTGGCCTGAGCAAAAGATTAAGTAAGATCCGAAATATTGTGCATTAATAATTGTTTATTCAAGCGTCCATATTTTCTATTCTCTGTCCAAGATTTTGTCCTTTTCTCAAATTAGGTCAGTGACTGTTTTGTAAAATATTCAGGTTGAAACTGAAAGCAGTCTATATGTATACCGCTGGATTCTACACATACTCCATATTTGCTCTGATTTTCTGGGAAACAAGGCGCTCTGACTTTGGGGTGTCAATGAGTCATCATGTTGCAACTGTCATTCTAATTTTGCTTTCTTATATATTAAGGTATGCTTGAGATGAGAGAGCTTAACTTGTAGCTCATTAAATTTTTTGTATGCAATAATCGCAAGAAAGTGGGTTAAATACCGACTAAGCTGCGAACAGTGGCCTGACCTAAACTCATTAATATAAAAGTCTTTCTCGAATACTATTTGAGTGCACTCTCATTTATCAGGCTTTTAGAAACTAAGGATTTATTATTATGTAAATTTATTTGCTTCCCGTGTCTTCTTGCAGGTTTGCTCGTGCTGGTTCAATTATTTTGGCTCTTCATGATGCTAGTGATGTATTTCTGGAAGTAGGGAAGATGTCTAAATATGGTGGCGCAGAAATGCTTGCTAGCTTTGCGTTTATTCTTTTTGTTTTGTCTTGGATCATACTTCGCCTCATTTACTTTCCATTTTGGGTCCTTTGGAGTACGAGGTTAGCATACATTGATTCACACATGTAATTGGTTGTCTAACACTTGTTATTTCTTTGGCCCAATAGTTTACATGGATTAGGTTAACATCAAAATGTGAACCCAAAATCTTGGTTTCCATTCAATTAAAAATCTTTATAACTAAAAAGGAATCCAAGGAATGAATTACTGAAGGAAGCAACCATGATTCTGAAACTTAAATGAGTTTGGTTTTTTTGACAATGTTTTTGAACTCCAGATTCATCATTCTTGAAATATGTAATAGCTTAGTGAAGCTTGTTGTGAATAGTAGTGCATTTAATTTGTTTATCAATTAATGTGTGTTTATGTACATCTTCTGGATGTTGCAATGTTCTAATGGTAAACTCTTTTCTCTCTTAAAGAAATTAACTATTCTTACGTTCTTGAGAAACTCTACTGCCTAATTAGCTATGAGCAATTGGTTCATTAAAAGAAATATATTTATGGAGGGTATGCAAACCTTCAGATATGGTACTAGTTATTCAGATGCTGAGTACTGAATTTGTACAAATATCCATGATTGCTAGGTTGTAGTTGTCTGCTTAACTGAAATGAAACACTTAATCAGATTAAACATGTGCCTTTGAGAGATGCTATATGCAATCTAAGAGCATGGACACTCCAAGATGGGTGTTACACGTGCCGGACACTGAATATGGACACACCACGTGGTGTCAACATTTTTAACTATTATTAATTTTTTTTTTTTTTTTTGTAGAACACGTTGGGGGCATTCATGGACACACGTGTCTGTGTCTGGACACGGCTCAGTACACTTTTTGAGTTTCTTTTTTTTTCTTTTTATAATTTTAGAAAGTTGATTTGTGGTCAAAGTCAAATATACAGAAACAAAGAGGAAAAAGGTAGAAAAAAAAACAAAAATACACCCATATATACATTGATGCCTCTCATATCTTCGTGTCCTAAATTTATATTCTCATACAGCGTAAATCAAAATATATAAAAATATATATATATATATATATTTTTTTTTTGTTTCCATATCCCCGCTGCGTATCCTATTTTTAATAAAAATCCTTGTGTCCTGTGTCCAAACCCTTGTCTGTATCTGTATCTGTGCCTGTGCCTGTGCTTGTGCCTCTGTTTGTATCTGTGTCCATACTTCTAACGTCTCAACCTTCTGCTCTGTGTAGGGTACCTGGTTCAAATTTTTATCCTTCACTACTCAAAATCCTTTATTTTCTCAAGCTTGCTGGATCTACTCAAGCAGGCATAATTTAAGACCATGCTCAATTTTGACTGCCATTTGTTGCAATTGTTTTCTTTGTTCTGCCATTTATACTAGTTATGAAGAGTAACTGTCTAGATGATCTATGCAATTTTCTATCTGCTCTTTACTTTACTTTGGATATAGTTTCGCTATAGTTCTGGCCATTAAAGTTTCTTAGTAATAACACATTTATGTGCTAGTTCAGCAGTGACTTTTAAACTTAATGTTGCTCACATCTCGTTTTGTGGTTTCTTTCTTTTAATATTGTGGTCATATAAATTGCATTTTATGAGTATGTAAGCATTATGATTGAGGGGCTTATACTATTATAAATGTTATTTATTCTTACAAAATGTCATTTTCTCTATACGGCAGTTATGAAGTGCTCCAGACCTTGGACAAGGAGAAGCACAAGGTGGATGGACCACTTTGCTATTATGTGTTAAATTCTCTTCTTTATTGCTTGCTTGTTCTTCACATTTATTGGTGGGTATTGATATATCGGATGCTTGTCAAACAAATACAAGCAAGAGGCCAACTTAGTGAAGATGTTCGATCTGGTAAGTGAATGATAACTCAGACTTTCTTTACACTGTTAGTAACTTAGATGGTTTGTGATCTGAGTACTTTCGCATAAATGGGAGTGGAATGCAACTAGAAAAGAGAAGAACATTTTCTAACAATGAGTTCCGTGTTTGATAAAATTCATACATGATAGAACTGCTGCCTCTTTTATATTTGACAATGCATGAGATGGTAAATAGTCATCGTGAAGATATTATAAAAGAAACTTGCTCCAAAGGCACCTTCCACATGGGCATTACGTTAAACTAATGATTTCACCAGGGTGGTTGGACTGGCAAAAAGCAGGATTGGGTTCACAGAATATGACTTTCGAGTTTGTCATATTTCATACTTGATACAAACTGTGAAGTCCTCTCAAACCTGCTTTGTACTATACATCAAACTCATAATTCAATTTGCTAAAGGGCTAGGCAGATAACAGCTCATGCCAATACACTGCCTTCCCTAATTGGATAGTTTGGGGTGCGTTTTCGTTTTGTGCTCATTTGAATTTGTTAGTGAAATTGAAATTCAAAAAATAAAAAATTCCTCCAATCATGAACCTCTTTTGTGTGTGTGTGATCGTTTATTGAGCTCTTCTCATCTTATGCAGATTCCGAAAGTGAAGACGAACATGAAGATTGATCATTATACAGATTTGTAGACTGCTTGATATGTGGAGGTGCTCTGAAATTTGTAAGAATGCATTTGAATGTTTCATTGAACAAATGGTATCATATCATTATCTCACCAATATTATAATTTGAAATGAAAAGTGAAGTTGTATTTCAGGATCCTAAAATCACCTAATCTTACTGGTCAGATTAAACACAGGACATGTTCACGTGCCACAAAAATTTCAAAGGGATTTAAAATCTAACATGAGGATGATCTAATTTCCATGGAATCTTCAAATGTCCCGAAGTTGTGCATTTTGTACTTGTATCGTTCTATCTTCTTGCTTGGATTGAGAGAAGTACATTTTTCGTTATTCCTTTTGCAGGTAGAGAGCAGTCAAGGTTTACATGTTGTTAAACGCACATCCAATGTTAAGATCAGATGTGTATATTAATTCAGGTAAAGGAGGGTAGCAAGTAGAGAGAAGGCTCATTTGCGATTTGGAAATTTTGCTCTTGTATTCTTCATGTAAGCTTCTGGGGAATTAGAGTAAAAATTGTTGTGAAGAATGTTCATAATTGTATTGCATTTGTATTACTTATCCTGTAAGGATTGAGTTTGGTGTCTTCATTGAAATTATGAGGCAATCATTTTTATTTTTTATTTTTTAAAATTTTAGGTTTGTTTGGGTCTCCCTTGTTACCAAAGGAACCTTGGTGTAACTGATTTTTTGAACCTCTTCATCCTCCTTGTAACTTTGGTGTCCATGACTGAACAGATTTTACCCTAGTCAGATTCGTGTCACTTTAAGTGCTGCTAGTTTACTAACTTCCATTTTTATTGTGTTTTTGGAACTTAAGGCTGTGTTTGAATGTTGAATTTGTGGATGGATTTGCACGAGAAAAAGAAAAGGGAAGAGAAAAAGGAAATCTAAGTAGAATTCAAATCCACAAATCTAAATATGGATTTGTGGGTGGATCTTGGTTGTGCGGTCCATTATGCTGGTTTACTTCACTTCTCCTTTTCCCTTTCCCTTTACATTTTCCTCCACAAATCGAGGGTCCAAACACAGCTCAAAGTGTCTACTGCTTTTTGTGAGTGGTTTCAATTTTTACTAGGGTTGGTGCATTTTGTTACTTTTTGTCGACTAGTTATAGTATGCACTCTGCAAATATCAGTCATGAAGCATGAAGCAGCAGACTGGATTCAGTTCGGAGTGACACTCCTCTCCAGTTTGTTGGAAAAACTGGATGGTGCACTCCAACTAAGAAGACATCATTTTGACTAATCAACGGCTCAAATCTCACCATTCGTCTGTGTAACGCTAGATGTAGCCATTTTTTGTTACAAAAATCATTGGAGCTGAGGCAGCTCTTTGAAAATCTCAAATGTATGTCGAATTGTGTGCCAAAATTGTCATCTTAGGTGGCTCACAAGTGCATTCTGTCAAACTAGTTCTTGCTATAAGAATGTGTTTTGCAGCAATGATAAAAGAGTTGCAGTCAAAAGGAGTATTGTCAATGGTGGCTGTTATGGGGGTTTATGATTGAAATTAAACTGAGTGACCCATAAGTGGAGTCTTCCAAAATTAAATCACAATAATGCTTCTCTCCTTTTCTTTTCTTTTTTTTCCTTCATATTTTTTAGAAATTAGAAACGAAAATTTATTTGTCTTGAGGACAAAAAATTTATTTGTTATGTTATGTTTTTAAAAGGTGAAATTAATTTCAAATTTTTTTTTTTAAAAACAAGATGAAGTTTCACTCTCCCACGTCACTACTCATTGCCGGCGAGCTCCCGTGACATTCTGAGTCACCTATCCATTTGGTCACCTTCTCACGGCTCTCAGTTATCCCGTAACACTTGAACCACCAACCTTGTTTGATTACCTCCAACCACATTGTTGCCACCATCTTCAATAATTCATCAAACTTACTTTTTTTTAATGAAATATTTTCTTAATAAATTTTTTTAATATTTTAAATAAAATTTTAATTTTTTAAATACACATAATTTAGAGATTGTTTGAGATGATCTATATAAATATATTTTTTAACTTTTTAAAAAAAGATATCCAGAAAAGTAAACAGATGATGTGACCTAAAAGAGATAAAATGACAAAGGGTTAATTACATGAAAAATCCCAGGATTTCGTGCATTTTTCATTTTAAACCTTAGGTTTTTAATTTTGACAAATTAAACTCTATTCTTCCACCCGTGTTTCAGTTTGATCCCCTATCCATTTTTGTCATATTGAACTAATAGAAATTTAGACAAAATTTCATATTCAAACTACCATGTTCAAGCACAGATTTGGTGATTAAAAATAAGATTTTTCTCCTTCTTTTTTTTTTTTTTTTTTTTTTTCTTTAGATATTATCTCCATGCTTCTTTTCTCATCTTTCTTTTTCCTCTTTCTTCACGACGCTTTTACCGGTGGCCATCGAACCTCCGACGATAGCTGTGTTGTCAAGTATGGAGGTATTAAAAAATTTCTGAAAATATTAAAATTTTTTACTAAAAACAAAAAATTACGGAAAATAAAAAAAAAAAATTAATTTTTTGAAACCAACCGAATACTTAGTATTTTGAAACCAAACGAATACTTAGTATTTTTTTTTTAATAAAAATTTTAAAAAAAGAAACTAATCACCCATAAAATTTTGGAGAAATACCACCAGAGTGGTAAACAAAAAAAAAAAAAATACACAATGTATACAGTTTTAATTATTAAAGTGTATAAATTTTACCACTAATTTTTAATTTTATTTATTTATTTATTAACACTGTTGTTATTCTTCCTATAATTTTTGCCCCAGATAAAAAATGGGAAAGTAGTCCCGGCTCTCCTCCAGAAACACACCTATTTCAAGAAAATCGTTTAGGGGTTCAATTTCAGCCTCCTCTCTGAAATCTCATTTCTCGATGATCGTCTGATTCTCTCCCCGCTCGATCGCGACGGTTGCCGGTGGCCCTAATACACAGGTCAGTTTCTCTCTTTTCTCAGAAGCATGTGTCCAGTATAGTCATTTCGAGCTTGTTTCCTTCTTGCTACTGTGGTCTATTATTCAGCTAATTTTTACTCACTTGGGTTAGATTTTTTTAAACCCCCATGTTGAAAATTGGGTATTTGTTATTGTAAATAACTCTCTTTATTTTGCTTCAAATGTTTGCTCTCAAGTCATAATAATACTCTGCAAAACCCTATTTAACATTACAACCTGAATCTTTATACAAATATTTATGTGCTTTTCTTCCTCCTCAACTTCCAATGTCTTAACTATTCTCCACTCCTCATCAACTTCATTTACAAATCCTCTTCTGGCATTTCAGCTTTTACATGATTGTGAAGAATACAACAACAAGAATTGATTATTCTAAGTTTGGTCTTTACACTGAAATAGCCAATAGTGTGTAGTATATAGGCTATATAGCTCATTGTTTCTTCAACAATCCAAATGTTTTCTCAATTGGTATTTCTTGCAAATGTGTGTTGAAGGTTAAAATAACTCTCTATAATTTGTTGGAGTGTTTCATCTCCACAAACTAAGATGATACCATTGTTAGGAAATCACCCCTTCCTAACTAGGATCGGTGAGACACAAAATAGTAAATAAGAAAGATAAAATGAATCGAAGAAATCACACACACAAGAACACAAATATTTACGTGGTTCACCCCAGAATAGGGCTACGTCCACACAGCTAGTGCGATTTTCACAAAGATCAGAATGCGATTACAACTCTCTACTATACAAGAGGCGCCCCCCTCATCTATTTTTAAGCATAGAATTTAGGGCAATGCGGAAGCAACATGAAATTACCAAAGTATTCAAAAAAGGTCTTCAAGATCCAACAACCAAGTCCCCTCAATATGGGGCCAAAAATCCAGGACCATTTGTGTAACCCACGTCCACAAGATAATACTTATCTACATTGCAAATTATAGATATTAAAAATCTAAAATAAAACCAAAAGTCAAAAATGAAATCCTATACATGAAATAAACACCTAGTTGATGGTACTTTTAACCCTATTATTAGGCCTATGCAAAGCATTGCGAAACACCCAAGATTCTGATGTGGATCCGTCCCAACCAGGTAATAATCATTAACAAACTTCATATTAGCATTAGATACTGTAGTATGCTTCAAGAGTAGACAATAAGAAACTTGTACATGGAAGGTTACCGGTTTTAGGCTAAATATTGAGTACCCTTTATCTTTCTCAAGCTGAAAGTTTGTGAAATTCCCATTGGTTGTCTACCTAAACAGCCTTCAATATTGACTAGGTTGCATTTTGTGGCAAAGCTGACTCAAATTAAATTCAGAAATTCAGGAAAATTTAGAAAATCTTACAAATTAAGGGGAAAAACATATTCCAAGGCCGGTTTGAAAATTTCATGTTATAAACTGTAAAGGGGGTTGCCCGAATGGGCTTTTGTTTATGGGCTATTTTACCATGTTTGGGTAAGATTTAAAAATCAGCCTATGTCTTGAGCATCAAGAATTACTTGGTCAGGCAACAAATTTGCTTTCTCGTCGAGTTGTTTTGACCAGCTAGCTGGCCTCGTATGTATAAATGTGATGTATTGGTTTGTTGGTAGCAGATGAATGAATGAAGAACTCTTTTGAGCCTGTTATTTAGCCTAAAACCGGTTGTTTAGGATGTGTGATGCATCTTCCGTGCAAGTGCTTAACCTTTAGGTTTCAGTGCCTATTTTGTTTCTTGTTTTTCTTCCTCTTCTTATTTTCCTTAATTCTTTTAGTTTTCTGCAATTTTAATTCTCTAGAAGCCACAACCAAACCAGGCCTTGTTAAACCCTGCACGTAACCAACTGATAATTTGACTAGTGACTACATAACGACTTATCTGGATATAAAGTTGGTTTGTGGTAAGTGTGTTATGAGTGATTTCCATAGTCCTCCTTAGTAAGACAGACTGAATGCTTATAATCTAAAATCTTGCTCTTGGTTAGTTCTTCTTCCAACTTCGTTGGTTATACCAATATCGTACTTAGCTTACTAGGATGCACCAAGGTATTTGTGATTGTGAATAAATACTGATGACATATATCTTCTTCCATAATTTTGCAGAATTTTGGTGAAGAGGATAAAGGAAAGAGATGGAAGATGTAATAACGGCCATTCCCCCACCTTCAAGGTTCTTTTTGGAAGATCTCAACAACTTCACTCCTCCATCACCACCTATTCCACCTCCTTTTCTATTGTTCTCCACCCCTAACCAAAGCAAGCCTATCTGCCCCTCGCTCCTCATCATCGCCTTGTCATCTCCATCGCTTCATTTTTGCCACCATATATCCACTAAAACATTAATAGGTTCCGTCATCCTCCCTGAGATCCCCTTCTCTGGCAACACTATCGAACCCTCACTCAGGGACAAATCGTGCAACATATATACCCTCACTGAAAATGATAATTTGATTGTCATTGTCTCTGTCCAGTACCAGGTCAGCGCAGAGAGATCTCATGCTGTTGCAAAGTTGCTGATTGGTGAACAGATCGTTCCAGAAAAGGTGTTGATTTTGGATTCAATTCAAAGCAGAAACTTCCGGGGTAAGCTCTCACCAGATGAAACGTTTGCCTTCAAACTTGAAACATCACAGCAAAGAAAGAGGCTGGGCAATGATGGTTGTGGAGATTCATCACTGTTAAAAGGCATAGATTATTTTCCCTCGGGAAGTATGGTAGATGGCTTGAGTGCTGCTCTATTGGGTCAATGCCAGATGAAGAAGATTAAGGGAACTGTGTGTGTTTCTTGGCCTGAATTTGGTGGTGCTGTGGCATCGCTGGTTAAGTCTCTTCTGCTCAAGGATGTCTTACCTGGCTTTGAATATAGTATTGTTGATGGTGAGGGTGGGGATACATGTTTGAGGTTTGGTCAAATAAAGGATAATCGACTTGATTCTGAGTTGTATACCTGATAAAATAGTTTTTGAAATGCTCATGGGGGCATGTTCTTTTGAAATTTATGATAACTTTAGTACTGGTGTTGTCTTTTTACCCCAATGGCACTTGATATGTTGACATTGTGTTACAAAGATATGAATTCTCCAAATTTTTGAGACAAATGTTTATGATACTTCTTATTCTACTTAATGTATGATTATAACCATTGGTGTTGCATCTTGTATGTTATATCCAGTGGCATTCAACTAAATCCTCTTGGATGAGCATCTACAACTTGTGTTTTTCCTTACCGTGATAGAAGTCTGTCACATCCAATCTCTCTATTGAGCTCTTGCTGGACACTTGGCCTGAACTTTTTTTACATACCGTGACATAAGTCCATGTTGCATCCCTTATCGTATGAACTACAAATTGAGGTAATGCCCAAGAATCGTGATTACAACGTCTAGAACCCAGGTAGATGTTATATGAATAGTTGAATCAATGGGTGAACTTTGAGCAGAATAATACGGTAGGGGAGGTACAATGCTGCAAATATGCCGGGTAGCACTGTTTCAAGTAGATGGAATTTGGCCATTGGAAGAAAATGGGCTGGTCGCAGGCAGCGATGGTGGCTGGAAATTTTTTAGTGTACCTGTTGGGTTCCGATGACTCTTGAATGAGATGAAGAAGATTATTAGGGATCATGAAAAAAATATCATGAAATGCATCATGAAAATTTTTCATCCTTTGATTAATGTTGATTAGTGTATGGTGTTTTATAGTGTGTATAAACCAAAGGTGGAGAATCTTTCATGATCATCTTCATGATATTTTTTTCATGATCTCTGGCATTACTATTTAAGTCAATAAATGCTAACCTCCATTAAATGAAGAGATGAGCAGGGATTAATGCCTTTTTACCTGTGTTTTTGACTAGTCAGTAAATAAACTTTTAAACATGGACTTTAAAAGAATATTTTTCATTAACACAATCAACTGCAAAACTGAGGGATTGAGCATCTGAATTACAAAATCTTCTCAACCATAAGATCAAAACATTGAAAAAAAATTATATTAATTAAACATTGTATATAATGAACAATCTAGAAACATGGTTGAGCTTTGTCATGATCTGAACAATCGAAACAGAACTAAGTGGTTAATCTGTTTTCATTAAGCACACCATGCGAATATAATAAAAAACCTAGGTTTTGGTTTGGTCGCTTGCCCAAATCTTTTTAAAGAAATATATATGGAAGAGGAAAAATATGTAGCTGAACAAGTGTTTTGAAAGAGTCCATGCTGTCTCTAGTCCATGGACTACAAACATAATTTAATAATATTTAAAAAATAAATAAATAATTTAATTAAATCAACCCTTAAGCCTTAGGATCGATCACTTCTTTTGTTTTTTAATAGATGATTTACGTACGAGAGCCTAAAATATTAACAAATTAGATTATTAAAATAAGATTCGTGGTGGGCCCATAGGCTTAGATTAGACTGTCTAATCCTCTTAAACGATTATGCTTCTGAAAAATATCTAAAAATAAAGTGTATGGTGCAAATTTAAATTTGATATGATACAGGTTGTACTTAGAATAAATGTGTATAGATTATTTTATTGTGGGAGTTTGTGCTAAATTGCTCAGTAGAAATAGTTTATTAAGTAGAAATAGCTTACCAAGCTTTTGTTTTTTTTTTCAATGGATTATCTAGAAGTTAGGAGAGAAATACTTTTAACTTGTACTTTCTGATTATCAACATTTATAACTTATAATAAATTACCCCAAACATTCGGTGTGGGAACACGGATTTTGTGTCTCTCTCTCCCCTCAGGTAACCTTGTTCAAGTAACACCCACCCACCTACCAAAACAACATTAGTTACATCCTCTTTTGACTACAAACATCCTTCTAATATTAACAAAGTACTTATGTTCAACACAATGTTCAATATCCTACATTCTTCAATCTCACTTGTATTATATATATATGTTACAGTGCCACCATGATAAGTACAACAGCCAAAAATGGTACTCTCTCTTTACTCTCTGCATTTCATGCTTCTAACTTTCTCCATTTTTGGCTTCCTCAGCTTGTTGGATGCAGGTGCTCCCCCTCCTTTAACACTAGACTACTATGCATCTACTTGCCCAAATGCTCTTGATATTGTCAAGAAAGAAATGGAATGTGCAGTGACGTCCGATCCACGTAACGCCGCCTTCATCCTTCGTCTCCATTTCCATGACTGCTTTGTTCAGGTTTCTCTCTTCTTTCTCACATTCAACATTCCACTGCAAGTTTTACAGCAACTGACATGATTGAAACATTCCACTTCAATGATATCTGTGATATGGTTTTTGTATCAATTTAGTTGTTACTGGTCTGTGTTCATTTGGCTCTTCTCAGTTCTCACAGTAACCAGAGCCTCATGCACTGAGTTGTTTTTTCTTTCTTTTTTATTTTTGTTTTTGTTGTAATGAAGCAGCTGTTGAATCTGTGGGTTAAATGGGTTGTTGTAGGGATGCGATGGATCGGTTTTGTTAGACGACACATTCACTCTGCAAGGAGAAAAGAAAGCTGCCATTAATATAAATGCCCTGAAAGGTTTCAGGATCATTGACAGAATCAAGAACAAGCTGGAGTCGGAGTGCCCCAGCACAGTCTCATGTGCTGATATCCTCACCATTGCTGCAAGGGATGCTGTTATTCTGGTATTATTATGCGATCTATATGGATGCTGCACATTAGTTTCCACTGCAAATATTAAATACTGAAATGCTATGTTACAAGAGAAGTTATCTGAAAAACAGTCCGAAAATTTTAATTTGTTGGAAAAATAGTACCAAATTATATAAAAAATATAATTTAAATATACCAAAACAGATTTTGGGAAAACCAACTAGAAACGCACGCAATATTTGTTTAACCAAAAAATAAACGCAAAACTTACATAAAACAATCAATTGTAAATATGGTGATCGAGGCTTGTGTTAGGCATAGTGTCTTTAAATAGATTCATCATCTCACACGTGTTTTGGATTCAATGGATGTCTATCTCCTAGGATAGAACGATCTGAATTTTACAGATGCAGCACTGCAACTGTAAACCTGACAAACCAACACAGTGCTTGTACTCTATATTTTATATTAGACATAATGTATGAATACAAAGTCTCTTTAAAATGAATGCTACCGGGATGGTATTTACAGAAGTGTTCATGATCATTCTAAAGGGTCACGACTCTTAAAAAATGAAGGGTTGGACCCGTTCATCTAGAGAGACACCATGAAGGGTTGCATCTTTCTATTCGAATGGAGTCAATTCCCCTTCACTTCTAAATTTTCAAGAAAATTTATGGTGTCTTGAATAATTCTTCTGAGTACGTAGCATTACTAAAATATGCTGTAATGTTTGTAGGTTGGTGGACCTGATTGGGATGTGCCTCTGGGGAGAAATGACTCAAAAACAGCAGGGTATGCAATGGCAGATCAAAATCTTCCAACTTCAGATGAGGGACTTGTCTCTATTATCTCCAAGTTTGTTTACCAAGGCCTCTCAGTCACTGATATGGTTGCTCTTTCTGGTGAGCTTACCATTCAATCTTATAACAATATACATAAACAGAAATAAAATTGGACCTCAGTACAACAAATTACGATTTTTATTTATTTTTATTTTTTTTAATTTTTTATGTATGTTCATGGTCCTCATGTTCTCCATGGGGCCCATGAACATATCATTGTGGTGCCTTATTTCTGTCCTATACGTTTTGCTCTGTTTATCAGGTGGGCCCCTTTCCTTTTGCTTTTTTTGGATAGGTGTGCCATGGTGTTGCCCGTTTGTCTTTTGGTTTCTTTTTCGTTGTTGTATAGCGTTTGGTAGGGCCTGGGGTATGCCCTTTATGTTTGTATTCATTTCTCTTTAATTTATGACTTACTTACCAAAACAAAAAAAAAAAAATTATGATTTTTGAGAGAAAATTACTTTTTAGGGACGAAATATCTTAGTTCGTAAAAGCGTCATTGTTGTGTTTTTTAGCAACAAAATTAGACATTAAATGATGAATTACTTCCTTTTAGACGAAAATTTTTCGTCTCAAAAAGTAAACATTTTTTGCACGAAATTGTTCTGTCCAGTACATTTAGTTGCAACATTTTCAAAATTTTGTCACTAAAGATCCTTTTCGGGACGACCTTTTATTGATGATATGAATTTGTCTCCTAATATTTTTGGAAACAAAATTTTCATTTTTAGAAACAAAAAAGTCTGATTTTTAAAACTTTTATATGTTGTAGTACTCATAAACCTGAAAAACATGTTCAAGTCAAGAAAAGGGCAGTGAAGATAGAGTTACAATATACTCTTTTGGCTAATTGTTATGAAAACTGTTTTCTTAAAAAAAATATATATATACATATATAAATAAATAAAAACAAAAATAAAAACCCACTTTTTAGGAGAAGTGAAAAGTTTTTGAATTTTTGAAACCTGTAATTGCATAAAAATGAGACAGTGCGTGAATTGGAATGGGACGGTGCTTGAATTTTCAGGGGCTCATACAATTGTGCTTATATTTGCAGGGGCTCATACAATTGGAATGGGACGGTGCGTGAATTTTCGGGAAAGAATTTATGGAGATTTTGATGCATCTTCACGGGGGAATCCAAGTTCTGAGACATATCTCAATAGCTTGAAAGCCATGTGCCCGGCTGCAGGAGGAGGAGACAATGATGAAACTGCTATGGACTATGTAACACCTAAACTTTTCGACAATTACTTTTATCAAACATTGTTGAAAGGGGAGGGATTACTAAACTCTGATCAAGAACTCTACTCCAGTGTTTTTGGAATTCAAACAAAGAAGCTTGTGCAAATGTATGCTGAAGACCAGATGGCGTTCTTCGAGCAATTCTCAGAGTCCATGGTGAAGTTGGGAAACATTACAAATCCAGACACCTCTGATAATGGGGAGGTTAGGAAGAACTGCAGGTTTGTGAACACATAGAGAGAGTTATGATTTGTTGTTTGCAATATTTGTTTGTCTTGTCAAGAAGTGAAATTCACAAATTTTATGTACATCAGATACTAAAATTTGAAATTTGTTTATGATTCATTTTGGATTCATGAAAGTCACAATTGAGATATTGTTCAGTGCTCTTGAAATGTCACTTATACTACCTCTCACCAAAGTGACATTCAACTATTGTTAATAAAACAAACAAATAGTTGTTTTGAGAACTAGTTATTTTGTTTTTTTGACTTTGATGTACAGAAAAGTATAAAGACGAGATAATTTTTTAACTAAAATAACCTATTGCCAAACTCGTCTGTAAAAATAAAAATGTTATAAACACTCATTAGAGTTGGAAGGTATACTTAACAAAAGCTCAAAGAGGCCTAAGAGATTTATTTATTTATTTATTATTTATTTTAATTTTGAATAAATTACATTGACACTCCTCTGAGGTTTATATTTATTACAATTCCTCTCCTTACCTTTTGAAAATTACATCTCCCTTCCTAAGGTTTTAAATTTAATTACAGATTGCTCCCTCAGTTAGTTGACCGTTAAGTCAACTAACTGATTTTGCTGATGTCAGCAATTTAATTTTTTTAAATATCAATTTTTCCTCATTGGGTAAATTACATTGACATGCCTCACATTTTAGAAATTATAATCCCCTTCCCAAGGTTTAAAGTAACATTACCAATTGCCCCCTCGGTTAGTATTAGTTGAAAAAAAAATTCATTGAAAAAAAAAATTAATTGGAAAAAAAATTATTTGAAAAAAAATTTTGTTAGTCAAATTTTTAATTTCTGTTTAAAAGCTAACGTAAACTCATTTTTTGAATTTACGTTTTTTCCTCAATTACAAACTAAGACAACCATTTATAAACTAAAAAAATTATCAAATAAGTTTTTATGACAGTTTTTAAAATTTTTGTAAATATAAATTGAAAACTGAAAACGAAATGGTTACTAAACAAGCCTCAGATGATAAAATGTCGTAAAATTAACAAATAATCAAATAAGTTATCAACGTAAGAAATGACTTATCAAAAGATTCTTAGGTTATGTATGGTTTGATTTTTAAATTTTTTTTAAAAACTAAAAATTAATTTGGTTAAGAAATAAAAAATAAAAAATAATTATCATTTTTATATAATTTTTATCTTTTAAGTGGTTAGAAATATTTTTTTACAAATTAAATATATTTCTTCATATTTATTTTTATTAAATTAGTTTTTTTTTTAAATGTGGGGGGATCCGTATTAAATTGAAATCTCAGGTGGTATCAATGTAATTTACCCTTTAAAGTATATGTAAAGGTTAAGAGTAAATATATCATTTTAACTTAAAAGTTAATACCGTCAAATAATTACACTGACAAGGAAGGTCGGTATAATTTTCCAAATATAAAAAGGGAGACTATAATAAATATAAATCTGAGAAGGTGTCAATATAATTTACCCTTTAATTTTTTACAAGATAGAATGTTAGATATTAATAGAAAAATTAGATTATAACAAAAAGAGTTTGTCGTTTCTCCATCAATCAAACTCATATTTTATTGCACCTTAAGGCCGGCTACACGACCACTGTGACAAATGCCAGGATTTGGCCTAAGAGCGTTGCAATAGGTAAAGCCTGACATCATATAATTCATATTAGGCCCTCGCATGAGGGCCATTTGATTCATTGAGCTTGCAGGTAGACATGTTTGGAGCCCAAATTAACTTTAAAAGCCCACGAAAAAGTCCTTAATTCTCACAAGTAAAAGTGTGTAGGTCAGCTTGAGTTAATTTTGGGTCAAGTCTTCAAATTCTGGGCGAATTGATAATTTTTCAACTAACCATTAGTTCGAAATTTTGACGATTTTATATTAATGATTTGAAGGGATTTGAAGGGATTAATAATTTTGTACACAAGATACAATTTCTTGTGCATATGTTAATTAAAAGCCAAAGTAATTAAATGATTTTTGGCAAGAGCTTCTTAATACACTCAAACTTTTTGTCGCACCCATCTCTACCAAAGTATAATCTCTGATACATGTGAGGAGGAAGTGATTGTGGTGAGAAATTTTAAGTGTGAATTTGGAATCACCATGCTTTTGGTCTTTTGCCACACTTATTTCTAGCCAAAAAATTAACTTAAGTCACTTAAAAAGCCATTAGAAAAATAAAAAAAAAATAAAAAAAATATGTAAACCAAACTGATGGACATGGCCCATATGACCTAAGACAGCCTAACCCACAACTGTCTTGGATGATCCAAACAAGCATTTAGTTACAGTCTAGTAGGTGAAACACAACAAGAAGTCCATTGAAGAACCCGCGTTGGTCTAGATTTCGTGACACTTAGACACCTGTTGGGCAGGGAGTTAGTCACATGGCAGACAAAGATCCTACAAAATTATTGAGCCTAAGCATCAAGCATTAAATGAGACTGTCATGACATTAAATGCAACAAAACTTCTCGCTCCTGAGTATGGTGAAACTTTCATGGCCGACGGCAAGTAGACCCTAGACTTTCGGCCAATAAGACAGTTTGAATGAACAAGAAAATGATTAAAAAAAGATATAAGAAAGCTTTTCAAGAAGGTTAACAACAACAAATAACTCTCCCTCTCTCTCTACTTTCTCTATCACCTCCAATCTGACTTGATCGTAAGCGTCTATGGGGAGAGACTACTCCAATCTCGGTGTCTCTCCATCGGACCTTTTGTAGGCCTTTTGTAGGCACGCATTAAGGAGAAGAAGACTTGCAGATTCACGGAGTGCGTGGATCGATCCGACTCATTCTCTATTGACCATATTGCATTATCACATACGAAGTAGCTTTTTTAAGTACTAATTTATTTATGAACTTAATAAGATGGATGGGAGACTTCCAAGATAAAACATATTATAGAATTTATTGTTTTATATAATATGTTTTTAGTATAAACTCCACATTTGCTTCACTGTTTCTTTGGTCTTTCATGGTAGACTCTTCTAAAGTAACCAATTGTCATCCTTCCCTATCAATTGATTAGAAAAGATATGACCCAATAACATTGTTTGACATCGTCAACTAAGATGGATGGGGGCATCTTATGTGGTCATGTCGCGGTTGGCAAGAATTTTTTGGGCGAATATCAAAAACAAAGATGTTAGGAATTTATTTTTATGAATTTTGAATTTATTCTGAATGTGTTTGTGTGGTAGAGATTGAATTGATGAAATGTGAAATTCATATATGAAATGAATATAAAGCCTCGTTTGAGAATATGCTATTTTAGTAATTTTTTAACTTTTTATCTAAAATATGAGGTGGAAAAAACTAGTATGCTTGGATTGAATTTTTAATTTTTTATGAAAAGATGTGCAAAAAAGTAGAAAGAAAATAAAATCTTTAACTTTTTTGTATAAGTTATAAACTTTTTGAATTTTTTAATAATTTTTTGACTTTTAAGCTAAAACAGGCATATGCCAAATGAGGCCTAAGCAATTGATTTTTTTTATAGATAAATTCTGAATTGATAAGAGTAGATTTGTAATATTATTGTATAAAAAATTGAAAAGTAGTAAGGGAGAATTACAACACAGTTGGACAAAGAAAAAAATTTCAAAAATATGTGGGGGTGCTAGTGAATTTATGATGGAGTGCAAATAAAAAGTTATGAGGGTATAAGTGTGACTTGTACCTTTCCATATTTTTATAATCAAATTTTCTCTGTCGCACTAGGTGGTAATTCTTCTAAGTAGGAAAGTAATTTCAAAATAATTCATGAGAGTTATATTTTATGAATTTGTAATTAGTTATTAATCACTTTTTGATATCTCTCCAATTTTCTTTATGAATCTTTAAAGGCAAATCACACATCCATAGTCTAACAACGCGTCCAAAATGTTGAATTGTTCTTTGTACCAACATCAGCAAGTTGTAGAGGAAGTAAGCAATTGCTTTCATTGGCTAATTCAATCAAAGCTTCAAACAACACACAAAACCAGAAGCAACTTCTTGGAATCTTCCTATTTTCACATCACAAACTACATTTTTTTTTTGGGGTGCGGCAAATTACATTTAAATTCACACACCCTTTTATGGTTTTGAGACAAAAATTATGATTTGATTATATCTTTAGTGTGAAAGTTAATTTGTGAATTACTAGTTTTGATTTTGAAATTGATTTTCAAATAATATAATTTTGTTTGAAACAAAAAATGATATGTGAAATAAGATAAAGGGCAAATTACAAAAAAGAAACTCAAAGGTTTCATCTGTTTTTCCATTTAAACTCTAGGACTTCAATTTTAACAATTTAAATCTTGAATTTTTTTATTTCGTATCAATGTTAACCATTCATCCATCTCTGTTAACTTGTTTGACAAAAAAAATAAATAAAATTAATAGATACGTGACACATTTTCGTTTGCTCATTTTACTTAATAATAATCTTATATTTGAACATGATCACATCATATCAATACCACCATATATTTTCATCCATTACAGCCATTCATCATATACTTACCATGAACTTCAACACATTATATCAAAACCCATTGTAATTTCTGTCTTTCTCTTTTCCCTTTCCTCCATTAGTTCGCCGACGAAATTGCTTTCTCAGTGAGTGGCGAAAGAAAGGAAAGGGGGAGAGTGGTGGTTGTTGGTGGGAGGAGAATGGTGGTGGTTGTCGGTGGAAAGAGAAAGGTGGTGGTTGCCGATGGAATAGGAAAATGGAGGCAATGAATGGTTGAAGAGAAAGAAATGAGAGCATGAAAGTGATAAGCTAAGAAGATAAGCTTACTGAACAATAGAATTCTTTTTACCGAGACAAAACATACAGATTACAAGAACCCCCTTATTTTATACCCACCTCAACCTAACTAATTGACTCTCGAACATTCCCCACCAACCCCTAACTTACTGTAACAACTCCTAGCAACATAACTAATTGTAAAAAACTCCTAGTAGCATCCTAATCTCTCTCTCTCTCTCTCTCTACTAACCTCTCTTATCACTCCCTCCTTCATCAAAGAAAAAGAAAGCCTTGACCTCAAGGCTGGTTTTTGCAGAAAGAAAGAAATCGTAGCTGAAGATCACGCCAAGTCTCCCAGGAAGCAT